AACTGAAATCTACCAACCAATGAACCTAGCATATTAAGGCATAGTTATCCATAAATAATTAACCATGCAAATAAATAATATATGCATCTCAATCATATGTCAATTTAACTAAGTTGTAGTTTATCGTTATTATACTGATTCATGAATAATCGTATTATTTCTTCCCACTCATAGTCAAGTTATTAACTTAGTCGTAATTCATATAATCTCAGCTTAGCCCGTACTAAAGTGAGTCTGGTTTAATAAATACAATAATCCTAAGGACTCTATCATGCATCAGTGTGAGAATTCTAATATATATACAACTCAAACCTAAGTTCCAAGTGGAACTAAAAAAAACAACTCACAAAACTAACATAAGTTCCAAGTGGAACTCAAACAAAACTAACTCACAAAACTAACCTAAGTTTCAAGTGGGACTTAAACAAACCAACTTACAAAACTAACCTAATTTCCAAGCGGAACTCAAACAAAACCAACTCACAAAACTAACCTAAGTTCCAAGCGGAACTCAAACAAAACAAATCACAATATTCTAGACTGGTGAACAGCTGGTTGATCGGAGAGAACTTAAACAAAACCAGGGGAGAAGCTAGACAATTTAATGAATGGATGCACTATTGATAATGAAAAATAAATATGCATAGGAAAAAGATTGAACCTGGAAAACTAAGGGTGCACAAGCTGCTATTTTTCTTATCAACTAACAGATATTTGATGTTTTACATACAAGTTTTTTAACTTTTAATTTAATTGTAGGTGCACGTGCCCCCACACTTTTTAACTTGGCTTCGCCACTGGTCAAAACCCAATGTCAGTGTCTTGAATGGAATGGTCTGGACTGATATGAACTCGGACAGAACCTTCTTTAGCTTCTGGACAGTCTTTTAGAACTTCTCGGCAGATGATTAGTCTTCGGAAAAATCTATACTTCTAAAGCACTTTACTTCTTTTTTTTTCTCCCTCTACCCAAGTTTTTGCTTTGTTTTCGAATGCGCCTACATGTCCTATGCATGTATCATTCTCATTCACAAGGAAACACCCACGTCCACATATCTCTCATCATGATTGGAGTTCATGCATCACGACAAATCGTACTATGCATGTTAGCTCGCATGCGCAATTCACAGATACTGCGACACCTCGTGTTATGGCATGTCAAGCTGCATTTCCTGCTTCTATGCACAGCGAAATGTCATGCTTCGTAGACACTCACCTTCTTAGATGTTTGACACCACGTTTTAATCCCTAGCAACAAGCCACCTCATGTTTCTCGGTCTATTCGTCTGGTTTTAGACTTTTCGGCAAATTTTTGACCCGCGAACAATCACGAATATTTTTATACACCCGTTCTGATGAGCTAAAGATTTTTAATAAACTCCAAATGAATCTTAACTTTGATGGACAATATTTTCCGAGCCTCCGGATTCCACAAAAAAAAATCATAATACAAAAATTAGGGATTTTGCCGAACTTCAGATTTTACCCATCATGCTTTTATCTCGTCGTGCTTGTTTCCCATCCTGCTTACTTCCCATCCTGATTCCAACTTTATGTTCCCAACATAATATTTATTAACACGACGTTCTAAAAAACGCCGTGCTTACTTCCCTTTGAGCTTACTTACCGTCGAGCTTACTTCACGTCAGGCATATGACTTTTTATTTCTCCCAATATGAAATTATCTTAACTGGGGAATTTTCTGTAAATGTCTTGCCTTGGGAACATCATGCTTTGGAACGTCGGGCTTCTAACGACTACAACTCCTTTATCGACCCGATCGCCCATGGTTCTACCACCAGACATAGATGTTTGACCATCTTATATTTTCTCAGAAACATGTTAAGTTTTTCGTGATCTAAATATAACATACCATGAGACACTTTAATTCCCATAAGCTTTATTACATTCTCCTCCCTTAAGATGCAACAAGGAAAAAGATCAGTGGCAATGGGAGACATGGTACAGTACTGAGGAAGTCAACAAGAAAGCCACCTGCATTTGCTAAACTCCCACCAGCTAACTGCATGTAGGACACACGACACCTTCACAAACTTTTCATAAATGTTATGGTCATTCAGTTCATAACTCCATTGACAGCGACACCATTTTATATGGGAAACTGCAAAACCCATCAGAACATGAGAAAGAAGAAGCTTCTCATGTGAAGAACGCATCACAAGGAGATGTACCATTCTCAGGGCCTTTGCAAGTCTCTATATCAAGTGGTTTTGCATGGGAAAGCGACGAAAAGATGACATATCTATTAGATCACATAATAGATCTCTCTTAAGAGGTTACATTCCTAACTTGTTGGAACCTTCTCCTGCTTTTAGTGAGAACACTGACGTTGAGCCTAAAATCAATGAGAATGAAAAGGAAGATTCCAAAGACCGTGAGGCGCATGAGATGTTGAAGCTTTCAAGGCGTACCAGACAAGTATCATTCACAGGAACTATCATTGGCACTTTATCAGAGAGAAGACAAGGCAGCAAAACTGAATCATTTGGTATGTTAGTAGATAAACAGAAGCTACCAATAGCATCTAGTTGTTTTGTCCATAGTATCCAAATTTTAGTTGATATAGTACAAACCAAGTTATATAGCACATGTTCTCTGTACTTGTGACCATGATATTTTACCAATGAAAACAAACTATAGTATCATAAGATGTATAATTTATTTACTAAGAGACACCATAAAGTCTCAACAATAATCTATACTTTTACTAATATCTCTTAACATTGTTTTTAATTTAAAAATAAAATAAAAAAACTTAAGAACTTTAAAATTTGTCTTAGCAATAATGTTGCTCTTACTAACCCCAAGCTGTACTATTAGCTTCGATCAAATACTTCTTGAATTTGATAAGTAATTAATGATGAATTATATAAAATGGGTTAAATTATATTATAGCCGAGTCCATGTTTATTAAATAATGGCTATATACTAGAGTCTAGAGAGAGTGAAAGAAGCTCAGCTTATAAAATTAAGTTATTAATTTACAAAGCTCGTTTATAGTTTTTTTTTTTTTATAATAAAAATCTGGCGCAACAAACTCTTCTCAAGAAAAATATAAATAAGAAACCCCCTCAACACATTTTACATAGTTTATGTTCCTACTTACTACCTTCTAAACAAAGTAACAAATTAATGTCTCTTTCAGTCTTTCTCATCACATAAAACGTCAATTATTTAGCGTTATGAGATATGATTAGCTACTCATATTTGAGGCCAGCTAATAAATATAAATTTAAACAATAACCTATAACCCAACTAGGTTGACTGTTAATGGATCATGGGTCAACCCAACTTGTTTAATAAATAGGTTGGTTGACCCATGACCCATTAAATTGCATGGGTCAGATGAGTTAAAGGTTGACCCATCAACCCAACATCTTTGTCCAAACCCAAAATGGACAATTGTAAATGGACTTTCCGCGGAGTCCAATTGATAAAAACAGTGTTAAACATGATTTTAGGTGATGGAAATATATGATTTTGCGATTTTGGTAGGAAAAATATTGAGATTTTGGCGAGAAATGATTAAGCAAATTTGGCGGAAAAACATGATTTAACTAATTTGCGGGAAAACATGATTTTGCGGTTTTGGCGGGAAAACATGATTTTGCGGTTTTGGCGGGAAAACGTGATTTTGCAGTTTTGGCGGGAAAACGTGATTTTGCAGTTTTGGCGGGAAAACGTGGTTTTGTGGTTTTGGCGAGAAAACGTGATTTTACGGTTTTGGCGGGAAAACGTGATTTTGCGGTTTTGGTGGGAAAACGTGATTTTGCGGTTTTGGCGGGAAAACGTGATTTTGTTGTTTTGACGGGAAAACGTGATTTTACGGTTTTGGCGGGAAAACGTGATTTTGTTATTTTGGCGGGACAACGTGATTTTGTGATTTTGGCGGGAAAATGTGATTTTACGGTTTTGGCGGGAAAACGTGATTTTATATTTTGGCGGGAAACGTGATTTCGTTGTTTTGACGGGAAAACGTGATTTTGCGGTTTTGGCGGGAAAACGAGATTTTGTTGTTTTGACGAGAAAACGTGATTTTGCGGTTTTGACAGGAAAACATGATTTTACGGTTTTGGCTAGAAAACGAGATTTTGTTGTTTTGACGAGAAAACGTGATTTTGCGGTTTTGGCGGGAAAACGTGATTTTGCGGTTTTGGTAAAACGTGGTTTTGTGGTTTTGGTGGAAAACGTGATTTTATGTTTTTGGCGGGAAACATGATTTTGTTGTTTTGACGGGAAAACATGATTTTGCGGTTTTGACAGAAAAATGTGATTTTGCGGTTTTGGCGGAAAAACGTGATTTTGTTGTTTTGCGAGAAAACGTGATGGATCAGTCCAATTGGACAACTTTAATTTGGAGTTAATAGGTTTGTTTTTAATTATTTGATTTTAATTAAAAACTAAATGGATAAAGGTTGACCTAACTTAATATACCCATTAACTTGTTAATCTATTAAATTGTTAACTCATTAACATGTTAACCCATTAACCTGTTAACTAATTACTTTCTAACCCATTAACCCATCAGATCAAAAATAAACAGTTCATTTGGGTTAATGGATCAATTTGAGTTGGGTCAACCCATGGGTCATATGATCCATTTTGACACCTCTAACAATAGGTAAGTGTTGGCTAAAAAAAGAAGCATAATATTGGATATGGTTTGTGACCATTAATCCAACATATTTATAACATCAAACAACACAGATCAAAGAGGAATCAAATTCCCACGATGGCGATAAGATGGAGTATGATAAAGAGATTCTGTATTACCAATCCACAATCCAAATATATAACTAAAGGTAATAGTTATAAAGCTTATAAATCTATAACTACAACCAAATACTAATAACTTTGGAGGCAAGGCAATGATATCATGTTGATAGTTGTCTGTTATATATGACTTAGATGTTTATGTAACTTATCTTAACAAATGAAACATTAATCGCAGGACATTGTCCCATGAACTCTAAGCTTCATCATCCGAGCCAAACTGCTGCATCAATCTCATCTCTAGCCTTCTTGTATAGCTCGAGCCTCTTTGAACATTGTAGCCTCCTTTCCATCAACTCTGGGTTCTCATCTAGCAACTGCCCCAAATGTTCCCCCTACAAAAAGAAAACATAAACAATCCTCAAATTCTAACTAAACCGAACTGAAATAACCGGAGAGTAAGATACACACCTGCCTCTGACTGATCTGTGTGTAGAAGTAATTGAGCAAGGCGAGTTTAGCCTGTCTGACTTGGCAATGAACAACGGCCTTAGGAATGGTGTTAACGAGTGTACCAGCAACCATTTTTATGTAACCAGCAACATTTGAAGCTATCTTTCTGAATTGTCTTTCACTGTTCTGTTCTACTGTTGCTGGTGAAGAAAGAGATGCCGTTTGGCTTCCTTGTGTCTCCATTACATGAAGGTTACGAAAGAATTCGACAGTTAGATATGAGGCTTCCATGTCAACTAATCTAAGAACCGACGTCATGCTTTCTTCACGGAACTTCTGTAGAGATGAGCTTGCTGCAGCAGCTAGCTCAGTTTGTAGTGAAGGAAACCGTTTAAGTTCCTGTATTGTTTACCAACATGAATCAGTAACATTCTATTACATTTGCTATCTAAGAAAACAACCAAACTCACCTCAGTTTCTGCTATTGATTTGCTTACAAGCTCTTTTAAGATGCTGTGAACCTGTTACACTCAAAAATCATTATGATCTTATTATATCTATAGATATATTCATACCCGGTCTTAAAATTTTGGAGACTATATACAATTTAATAAAGATTTTAATTATTAAAAAAATTAATTTATGGACCTATTTTTTATAAATTATCTTTATAATTTTAGAGACCATAAGCTAATATTTCACTTGTTTACACTGGTAAAATAGAGGTATGAAGAAACGTACAGCATTCACAGAAGCTTCAGCTGGACCTTTAAAAAGATGAAGGGATCCTTCAATGAGACGACGATAACCCATTTCTGGAGCTATCAAATGAGGTTGATAGCCATCAGATTGTGAGACAATCCTCTTAACATTTTCCAATGAAAGATGACGATCAAAAGGAAGCTTTCTAATGGCTCCTGGAAGTTGGTAGTCGAAGATTCCATATATACGTGCACCTCCAGGACGCCTAAGATTCATTAATTATTGATCAAAGTTTAGTAAGAGTTGTTAAACCACCCTTACAAGAAAGTCAGGTGAAAACAAGAAGAGATTCAATACGGGTGTATTACCCGCCATCTAAATGTTCTTTGAATATCTTTTCAAATGCACGACACATTCCCAAGATGTTGTATAGTTTAGCCTGAGAGCGACACATGTTAGCATTTGTCCATACAATAGCAAGGGGGAAGGATGTTCATAGAAACATATGTACTCACTCCAGCATCAATGGCGATAGGCCTTCCCAATTGATCTAGCTCTCTTTCAAGTTCCTCGATGCTTCTGTTTATCAAGGCTATGATGTTTGGAATACGTGCCCTTATAACAGATTCCAAGAGCTGGAAGAACAAAAAAACACACAAAGACCATAATAACTAAAACTGAATAACAAAAGCTTATTCATTCGTATAAGGGTTTTTGATTGAGTAAGAACCTTAGAGAGGATCTTTGCAAGGTATTCTGAACCCATTTCATTGGCTAAGTGACCATAGTCAGGACTTGTTTCAAAATATTCTCGCTCTTTCCTTCTTGCAACCATCATGTCAACATTCTTGTTAATATCTGCTTGTGAACGGTTCACTATCCCAACCCAAGGGTACTGCATCCTGTATGATCTTCCTTCGATAACCTTATGAAAAATTTCACTATGGTGTCAATCATAGTTACAATGTAAACACACAAGAAAACATAGAAAGATCAAGGCTTGTTGGAAGACACTTACATCCAATGCATTAGTTCCATTGTCCATCAAGTCTAACTTTGTCAAAACTCCAAACGTTCTATCACCTAAGACAATGAGATAAATTAAGAAAACTATATCATATTTTTTAGTGAAAACTTTAACACACAACAAAACAAAAACCTATTGGATCCACTTCTTTGGCGAGCTTGATAGCATCCGATGTGGCTATGTCTTGGTTAGCAGGAGATATTGCTAGTATAAGACAGTTTGGCTGTTGAAAAAAAATATAAAAGTAGGATAATCAAAACTATCAAACTACAATTAGTGTGACTAGAGTATATTAACAGAATCACTAAGCCAGGAAGAATGTAAGAACTAATTAATAGCAACACTGACCTTTGCGACGTATGAGCGAACCATGGACTCAATATCTTCAGCAATAGTTTCTGGCTGTCCTTCTGGAAACAAAAACAAACAAAAAATCACAATGTTAACAAAATATTACATAAGCAAAAGAAGCAGAGCCAAAGAAAAACATACCAACAGCAACTTTAGTCAAACCAGGTAAGTCAATGAGAGTAAGATCCACAACTGTTTTCAAAACAACACAACACAACAAGAAAACTGGTGTTAGCTGGATCAAAACATGTCTTTAAAGACAAGATCATAGGATCTTTTATATATAAACCGACCATTGGGAGAGAAGATGCTGAGGTGAATAGGAACTGGAGAAATCTGTTTTTTCTTCCCAGTCATTTTATCAGTCTCATCTTGAATCTCCTTACGAACCAAAGCTGCCACATCACAAAGTTTTCAATATTAAACTAACATGATGGATTCATTAAGAGCCAAACACAAACACACATTCATTCATTTACGTACAGAAGTTAGTGAATCTCTTATTGGGAAGGTGTAGAAACTCAGCGTATTCTTCTGTTCCATGTTCCGTCTTATGTAGCTGTAACAACAAAGGCCTCCTCGTAACAATACCTGCGGAACAAGTTATCTCTGATCACAACAGGGTGAAACATTTGTTTTGACTTCAAATTCTAAATAATCTATACATAAGTTACAGGATCCCTAAATTATCAAAAACAAATAAATATTAGTATTAACCTAAAATGGTTTATGATCCTCTAATTATTAGGTTCGACCATGACTATATTATTCGAAAGTGTTGAGGTTAAGTAATACAAACCAGATCCTCTAGGGAGAAAATCTCTTCCGACAATGCTCTCTAGGACAGAAGACTTTCCAGAACTCTACACTCATGAACATAAAACAACGTTAAAGACAAGGTGTAAGAGAAAAACAAAAGTCAAGTCCGATGAGACGTAAACCTGGCCACCGACGACTGCGACGGAAGGAAGAGCTTCCCAGAGAGAAGAGAGAGCGTTGTTACCGCCGCCATAATCACCGAGTGAAGTGCATGCTCTTTGTATTCTGTTAACCAACCCTATCAAGCTCTCCATTGTCGCCATCTTCCCTTTTTGTTTCGATGATTCCTGAGAAGAAGAAGAGAGATTACGCCACGAGCATGGAATTTGAGAGACCAAGTGGTGAAACAGAGAGCGGGCGTTTACAATGTGATTAACCAACCAGTCCAATTTAATTAATAAAAGTATTAAACATTGAAATTGAGTCAAATCTTTTATTTATTGTTTTTACAAAGAGTCAAAGTATTTAATTAATTGATATTATTTTTTGACTAAAATCTGTTTTTTTTTTTAACAAAATATATGTTTTTTTTATCAAAATATATGTTTTTTTTTTTGCTTTTAAGTTCTGTGTTTGGTTTTGTAATTAATCGATATTTTGCCATGTGGTATATGATTTGTGTCCTTTTACTTTGTCAAAAAGAAAAAGATATGTGTCTTTAAGAAAGAGAAACTGAAATTTTATCTCATAATTATTATTACGTTTATCTATTAACAAATTATGAATGGCGAATATTAAATACTCTGGATATGTTTTCATTTCACAATGATTCAAACCAAATACTCAGAATTTTGGTGGTAGTTACAAGTTTTATCTTGTCCAATATTTAATGTATTATTTATAAGTAAACACGTTTATGTTAAACCATTGCACATATTTCTTATAGCTAAAGGTTATTCTGTATATGATGATACAAAAAAAATTGAAATGCAACAGAAAAACTTTTCACAAATAAAAATCAATACTATTAAAATAGAAGCAATATTTATTTACTTCCAAGTAGTCTATATTGGAGTATTACTTCTATTTAATTTTCTATTTATTCTCCTACAACTAAATTAATTATTATTAAATATATATATATATATACTATATCTAACCAATTATTTTAAATTTTCAAAATAAAATATCTAAAAAAGATATTCTTCATTTTCTTTTCCTAAGATTAGATTTTTAAAAAAAAATTAATATATTTTATTTAAACTAGAAATATACATTTCTTTTAAATATTTACTTTTAAATAATAATGTCATAATTAATATTAACTATAATTAAAACGAATACTAATTCATTTTTTTCATTTCTATAATAAGAAATCATATTTATATATACATAATTTATATTCAGAATAATATTTATATATACATAATTTATACTTAATCCTCTTATTAATTATTTTATAAAGTATAAAATAACCGAATAAAATATATTCATAAATTTTTCAACGTACTTCAACTTATTAAAATATTAAAGTATGATATATAAACTAATAAATAATTTCAATATTTAATTTTTATAACAATGATGAAAATATATAATAATAATATTCTATTTTTTACCAATATAAAAAATTAAAAATGTACTATAGTTAAAGTTTTAAAATATAAATAAAATTGATACGATGCAGGTTATATAAATGAATTATCTTATGTTGATACAATTATATTCATGTAAATTTTAATTTTATTATATATACTTTTAAAAACAAATGTTTTTATAAAAAAGATACATATGAATAAGATTTATAGTTTTCAGTAAAAAAAAATTGAAATCTCGCGCTTTAGAATACGGGTCAAAATCTAATATCTCTACATATTATTATTATTATTATATATATAAGTAAATATATAATAAATATATCATAAAATGACAATTAATAAATATTAAAAGGTCTAATAACAATAATGAAATTAAATTTCAAATAAACAAAAAACAAAACATCAAAAAATTATAATAACATGTGAAACAATAAAAGTTAACTAAATAAATAAATAAGTAATTATATTTATTTCAAACTTAAATCACTAATTTGTAATAACCGTATATGAATCGTTGATGCTTAAATCTATTTCTATTTTAGTATGCATCCTATCAAATATTGATCAATTACGTTTACAAAAAAATGATAAATTAGTTGATTATAATTGTATGGCTAGCTTTGAAAAATTAAAGTATCACACTAATAATATATCCACCATTCATCTAAATATTAGTAAATTATAATAATTTAAATAGGAAAATTTAAGTCGAATTATATTACATAATGGGTCATCCATAGGTTTAATCGGTAGCCGGATCTTAGATTTTAGTAAACGGTTTTGAAAAAAAAAATTAAATAACAAATTTTTTAAAAAAATAAACATGAATACATGTAAAATTATCGGTTTTGTTTGTTTAACCGTAGTTCAGATCATATTTTAGAGAACACTGAATATAACATTTTATGTGCAACATTTAAATGTAGATCCGAAAAATTGTTAATTTATATCATATAAATTTATTTCTTTTCGAAAATAATTCTGCGTTTTAAAAGTGCAGATCAAAATGAATTAATTAAAAGGTAAAGCATTATGGCCCAATAAGAACGAAGAGAAAAGGATTGAAATTGAGTAGGCAATAGCGTGACAGACCCATGAAGAAATGGACGAAGGAGCGTGTGGGTTAACAACATAAACGATAACTTCTCGCATACCAACACTGGTCCTACCTAACACTTGTCGGCTTCCAGTCTTCCACCATCGACGAGCCTCCATCTTTTTTTAATAAAATGTATATATATTGAAGCAATTAGTATGCATCCAAATTTATATTTTTGTTTTAGTTCTTCGCAATCACCACTATGAATCTATTTTCGTGATTGTTTTTAGTAAATTGTTCAAAGAAAGTGGTCTATGTTTCTATATAAGGTGTTGATTGGATTCATACCGTATCTTTGCATTCACGATGATATAATTATAATTAGGCAGTATTTCAATATCAATGCGCAGACTGAAGAATATCATATTTAGTCAATACAATTAAAACTAGCCATATATGTACATAATTTAAACGTGATATTATTGAGAATATAAGGAAACTTCATTTTGGTAGTCTTCCATGGCCTGATCGTTCATGTAATGTTTGTATAATCCGGTTTAATATAGTTTTAATGAGTCAAATAAAAAGTACGTTTAGTAAAATTTTAAGTAATAACTAATAAGCTAATCATTACATAAGCCTATTTGTGATGAAGTGATGATGTTTGTTTGACAACGATAAGAAACGAATGTCAACGACAATATGTATCATAAACATTATGAATTGTTCATCTTCCCACTATACAGAAAGAAAACTATAGTGACGTTAATTAAAAAATGGACGAGTTTATCTTTAACCATAAGTATAATCATCATTATTACAACGACACTGGTTCAATTTATCCTAAGTACCTAACCAAATGCTAACGTGTCAAACCTTTATGAATAAAATTGTATTATATATTTCTTCATAACACCAAATCCGAAATTTCCATTTATTCCGGCGACTCTCTTCTCTCTCTCACAAAACAGAAACCTTTAGAATCAGAAGAAGACAATATATATATACTTGTACTCATCAAATCTTCTTCTCCTTCTACTTCTCAGAGATCAAAGACTCTCTTTCTCCCAGAGTTTTTGTCTATTTTTAAAAAAAATTTCCGATGAGGTGTAAGAGACATACAGCTGACTCCACTAGCACTCTCGGCGTATGCGCTTCTTGTCTCCGTGAACGCCTCTTTCCTCTCTCCGCGTCTGAAGATAACGATCATCTCTCTGTTTCTCCTCACGATGCTAACAGAACTTCCGACGCGGAAAAAATCTTGGAAACAAACCGATCGTTTAAGAAGAAACAAACCGGTTTATCCCGGTTCTCTACCTTCTTCAGGACAAGATCTAACGACTCAACGTTTTCTCCATCGTCGTCATGGCTCTCCAACGTTCTCCCGAAAAAACAATCAACGTGCTACATAGAGGACTTGATCGCCTCCGAACCTAATCATAGGCAGAGATACTGCAAAGGACTGTCTCCGGCGAACGGACTAGAATCAGTCGAGGAATCTCCCGGGAGAGCGAGAAGAGCTTCTCCGGCGACGGGAACTCCGGGAAGAAGAAGAAGAAAGACGGCGACGATGGCTTTGTGTTTGAGTCCGTTAGTGAGAGCTAAACCTAATAACTCTTCTTTTGGATACACCGGTGAGATGAAATCTCCGGTTAAGCCTCACATTTCAACGGCTGCGTCTTTTTACGGAAACCGGTCTAAGAAGCTTGCCGATTTAGGTAGAGCTGATCACCGCCGTTGATTTTCTTTCTTTATTTGGTCATTATTTGACCCGTTCTATACGAAATTACCTAAAAAAAATATCACACACAAGATACATATGTAAAGTTATAAGATTGAAATATTATTTTTGGTTCAACTAAAGAAAGTCTTATTGTATATTAAACTGGTAAATTATTCCTTTTTTTGATGATATTTAGATGAAGAGAACTAAGACTAGTTCATGTAAGTATTGTAAAATAGTGCATAGTATTATTTTGAAGTTTTCAAATGAAGGATCAACGTTGCTTTGTTAGTATTAAATGTTGCACATATCCTTGTGTTTGCCTTATAATCTATAAAAAAGGATCGAAGTGTTTGACATTTTTTTTTTCTTAATCCCTCATTTCTGTCATGCATGGATAAGTCAAAGTTAGCCATTCACAAATCCAATTTACTAGTCTCTCTAGAGAGACTTCGATCTTGAAAAAGGTAGAAAAGGGCATATAGATCCAATTAGGATAAGTTTCGACGAAAATTAAAAACATATTTTTCTTCTTAAGATCCAAATTGAAACTTGAAACCCATATAAGAGAGTTTCAAAAAGGTTTCACAGAGTAGAGAATAAGAGTTTACGAAGTGGGTCCAATGTGATTTTAAATTCGATGGGTCCAGCCAAAGCCGTGAATGAACGGAATATTGTGAATTATTCAATACTTTTCATTTTATTTATCGTTTTATTTAAATAAATATTTAATTTTACATATTTTAAAAATAAAAATATAATTAACTATATACTTAACTATATTTCAACCAATAAAAAAATATAAAGTTAAACGTCATTTACTTCTAAATAAATTTTTTCCCTACGACATGTACATGTAAACTAAATTGGAAGGAATATGTACATTCCAAAGCTGTACTTTCAGAAGCTCTACTTTCAAAAGCTGTACTTTCAAATAAAACACACTTGTCATTCATTATCCTTTTAGTTATTACTTGGCACTACAACTGAGCAGTATGGGTGGGCACGGATCGGATATCCGGGTATTTTAAGGTATTTGTGATTTGCTTCGAATGTTACGGATATCTAATTTTGGTATTTGCTTTGCTTCGAAAAAATACGGATATCCGGAAAAACGGATATCCGGAAAATAAATAGATATTTGCGGATATTTACGAATATTTACGGATATCTCATCCATTTTAATTAGTACAAATAATCTTAAGATTTTGATGCAAATTTGCTTTGCAAAAATATTTTTTGGATGATATATAAAATAAAACTTAAAAGAACTTGTGAATTTATAGATTTTGTAATTTTTTAAAGTTTAAGTTACACTTATAATAACACAAAATTTAAGAAAAAAATATAATTGTCAAAAATATTTTATCTCTTTTTATGTAATACTTTTATATAAGTAATAATTTGAATAGAATTGTTCAAAATCATGTGCTAAAATAATAATTTTATAATTTTATACAATTAAAATTTTAAATATAATCATAATATATATATATTTATATATTTACGGATCGGATCGGATATCCGCTTTCCAAAATTTTAATATTTGTGATTTGCTTCGATTTTAACGGATATTGAATTTTAGTATTTGCTTTGATTCAAAAGTTTACGGATATCCGGAATTTTTGGATCGAATCGAAACAAATAACGGATCGAATCAAATATACCGGATAAAATGCTCAGCCCTACTGAGCAGTTTGCTAGATACTCTATTACTGATTATGAAATGCTATTACTCATTACATAAACAAGCTTAACCAAAAAAACACATATGTATCAAAATAATACCTTCTGAGTAATTATATGATTATAGGTATACACAAAAAAAAAAAAAAAAAAAACTATTCTATGCTTCTTTCTCTGTTCACCTATTCACATGGAAGTAAGAAACGAGAAGATTGTTTAATTTATTTAGCTCACAGTTGTATAATCCAATTTCAAGACACACAAATCACAGTAATTAACAAAAGTAGTTAAACAGAGCCTATGAAACTCCAAAGACCACAAAAGTTTAGAGGTAGGGACAAACCATAAACTAGAGCAAGAGACTCTTTTCAAAAGATCTGACTGAAAATAAAGCAGGCAAAAATTTTACATATAGAAGATGGTAACGGATCAGATCATGCGAGGGCTTGGGGACTTTTTTGAGTATGTTCTTTTGCTCTCTATCAATGTTGTTGTGGTTGTTGCCAATTTTTTTTAACAAGAGCATCCTCCTGCTTGCTGCTGAGCTGACGATGCATTGGCATTGGAAGACTTGAGATTAACATCAACCATATCCTCCTGCTTTGTCGAAGACAGTGTTTCCATTCCGGGCAAAGCTGCTGCTATCTTGCGGAAAAGAGCCTAAGCAATAAACAAGTAAAAAGGTACACAAAGCAGTAACTGTTGAGAGAGTATCAAAGATAGATCCAATATGAGTGAAGAGGATGTATAAGTAGAGTCTTTTACTAATTAGCAGGTTGGTCGAGATGGGGCTAGACAAAGTTAGTGTTTAACGAAATTTTAGCAGAATTTTTTTTGTTTTTGTTTTTTCTTATTTGTGTACCACGGAGAACTTAAAAATAAGTGAAGAGAAGATCATTTGTTACCTTTATGTTGAAGCCGGCTTTAGCACTGGTTTCGATGAACATTACATTGAGCTCACGAGCCTTGGCTTCTGCTTCCTCTATTGACACTTGCCTGAGAAAACATCCAATTTATTAGTAAGGCCCCATCCTCAGCAACAAATAGTAAACGCCTACGATTATATGCAGTTTAGAGCACCAATGATTTCCATGTATTATTTTGTTGGATCGTTTGGGAGCATACTCAACGCCACCACAAAAGTAAGACGTGGTTTAACAATGGTTAGTACTTTACAACACTTATCCATCTCAGAAACTGGACATGAAGATTTAACAAGGAAAGATAGTAGATGACTATTACCTTTTGTCCACAAGGTCGGTTTTATTTCCCACGAGCACAACTATGACATCACTACCACGCTCTGTCCTAACCTCATCGATCCACTTAGCAGTGTTTAGAAATGATTGCCTGCCTATATGTCAACAGAAATAAAACAACCAAGTTTCAGAATGCAAGAATCTGGATGGATCAAGATAAGGAAGAAATCAAAACAGATTTTACATATAAGATTACTTAATATCACACCCCCAACATCTCAAATATGGGAAAGTATGCATGTGTTTTGAAAAGTTTAGAGAAGGTCCACATACTTGCAACATCATAGACAATAACAGCAACAGAAGAATCCCTGATATAGCTGGGAATAAGACTCCTAAACCTCTCTTGCCCAGCTGTATCCCTGTCATACGAATTATCTCTCAATGCTAAAACATCAAATCATTAACTTATAGTTTACTCTTCAGTGTTAGAAACCTGAAATGAGGTTCCAGATATTTACCACAACTGCAGTCTGACAGTTCGATCTTCAAGGTACATAGTCTTGGATAGAAAATCAATACCAATGGTAGCCTGGAGATAAATAGGAAGAACATTTGGGTACAGTGATGATAATCAAGCATGGTATAGTGATGATAAACGTACTATTATACTTTACTAATCAAGATCAGATAATCATTAATCAACTGAGAACTACTTGGATAACAATCCATCGTGTTTCCACGATCTTATACAGGACTACACTCTCGATTATGAACAACAAACAATCAAAAGTGAGCGATCACAACACCAAAATCACGACCAATGATGAGAAGCTAGAGGAGATCGCACACATGGATCCTTACTATTGATTGTTAAGTCCCATACATTAACAACAATATACAAATCAAGATCACAGACTTTTTTTTACCATTCATCAACTGAGTTACTTCGATAGATAAGATAAGCAACGATAACAAGATCCAAATCCATAGCGTTTCTACTTAGAAGCGACTACATTCTCGAAAGCGAGCGATCTCAACGCCATGAGAAGCTAAAGGAGATCACACACACACACACATGATCCTAACTACTGATCGTTACGTCTCATACATAAACAACGATCTAAAGATCAGATCATACAGAATCGAACAAGCGATCAGAAAAATGGATCTCAATCTCTACCAAACTAGTTAACGCCGTGCATCTTCAAGATACTACACTAGATCGGAGAAGGAAACTTGGATTAACCTGATAAGTGTTGTCGAATTTGTCGTACATGAATCGAGTGATGATACTCGTCTTCCCCACGGATTGATCTCCCAGAAACACTAGCTTATACTTGGCGAGCGCCGACACCGGAGCCATTGATTCCTCGAGATCACGGATCTGTGAGATACGTCGAGGTCTCTCGCGGAGGAAGGAGTTTCCCAATATAAGCCGGAGTTAGTCTATAGATCCCGTCGCTGATGTTTTTGTTTATTCGTTGAAAAGAAAAACACAATGAGGGGTTATTTATGTTAGATTTAGAAACTTATTGCGGATAATTTACAATATACAAGAAGTTTAGACGCAGATTATTAAAATTCAAAACGTTGTGGGCTTCATAACAAAAGCCCATACATCGAATTGGGCTGGCACGTGATAAGAACGTACCTGAAAGCTACCCAACTCTTCATTTAGGTGAGTCCTGATGCTCATTTCGAAAAGGATTTGGGATTGGATAGTTTGAACACCGTGGAGATATTGATGGCCATTGAGGAGGAATGCTGACAATACATCGACTTTTGTTCTCTTTTCATTGAATACGTTTACGATAATCCAAAGTCTCACTAAACCTCAAATGAGAATTTTCAGATCTGTTTCAGAGCAACCTTGAATGCTTATGATTGTTTTCAACATATCTCAAATGAAACAACATATGATGTCTGAAAATTACAGGAACAACTTAAAGGAAACAACTTAAAGGTATTCTCTCATCACTCCACAAGTGCCAACAAGTCGCTCTCTTTACAAAAGCAATGCCTAGCACCGGTCCCCAAATCGACCTGTACAAACAACAATGAAGGAACTATGATTCAGTTCATTTGCAGAGAAGCTCGTTTCACTGTCAAGATGGCAACACACACAATTAACTAACCTCATAAGCGCTCACGTCAGAGAACAGAACCTGTTAAAATGGCAAAAGGCGAAACAAATGAAGAACATTAAAAATGAATGATGGTTATGAATTAAAGAGTTGCACAAAAGAACCTAACCTTCTTTCCAGGTCCAACTTGTTGTCCAACCTCAGAACCAACTGAGACAACCTGTGTAATATGATCAAATCCATACTCAAAGATCCTCAAGTCATACATAAATAATACACTATAGGTCTATAAGGGAGAAATGATGCAATTACCTCTCCGGTTAGGTACCTCTCAAACTTAACAGCTGCTTTTGGCAACAACACTCCACCTGAAGTTGTCTGCATAATAAAATCACATCAACAGAATAATAATCTATGATTATTGGCAATCTAATTGTGATAACATAGCTAATTCAGCTACAGTCTCTTCTCATTAATCAGATTATAAAGGATCAATAAGAGATATAGACCTGAGCAAGCTCTTCAAGGCGAACAAGAACCCTGTCTGCTTGAGGAACAACCTGCCAATTATCAACAATCTCTAAATTAAAACAGCGAGATGAATACACTTTTAGATCAAATAAAACGAAAAAGACAGTTACCTTTGTGGGTTCCCATTTAGTGGAAATCGCTTTGACTTTCAGACAGCCTCTTCGACTTCCTGGAGAAAAACAAATCATCAGCCGCAGAAAAAAAAACATGGAAAGCTTGAAACGTTATAAGTTTCAGATATGTCAGTACCGAGAAGCTTGTGGTTAGCTAAAGGAGCAGTATTAGCATTGGTTTTAACCGGAAAAGCAAAGAAGGGTTTTGGTAGAGAGACGAAAGTGGAAGCCATTGCAAGATAAGGTTTCTTTGCACAAGCAGCAGCTCTTCTTCCTATTCACGACTTCGGCTAGAGCCTAGAGGTTTCTCGTCAGTTCTTATGCTTTTGAATTGGGCCAACATACGGCCCGTTAGTTTCCAACTTTTCAGAATGGGCCTATCTGATCTCATAAGACCTTACCGTCTTTCCATTACTGAGAGAAATCAAAGTAGGACTGAAACAAAACAGCCATAAGTTCAGTTCAGTTCATAAAGATGAGAAAATAAAGAAAGTAGGCTGAGTATTCGGATACCATATCGGGTTCGGGACGGGCATTTTGGATATTGGATATTTCAGATATAGTAAATGAGATTTGATCGGGTATTTTTAAATTTCGAATCGGGTTCGGTTTGATGCTTGTCGATTCCGGATAGTTTCAGGTATATTCAAAGTAACCGAAAAACCGATTATGGTACGGATTGTCTTATTTTACCCAATCATAACCAAAAATACTTGTTTCTAACCCAAATTAATTACCCGAATCATTTAGAATAAGACACAAATAAGAGAATTCTGAAATCAAATAAAACAAGTCTTAAACTCCAAACAAACAACAAATTCAACTTTTTAAACAAATAAAATAATCCACCATTATAAGAAACTGTGAAACTCAAAGAAGAGTTGAAAGTAAGTTTGAGATAAATCAATAAGAAAATGTATAAAAAGAAGTATCAACATCTAGTCTTTAATATCATATATTCTTCCATGTCTCTAAATGCATTTCACATACTTTCTATAATAGTAGCACAATCACATTGACAATAGAAATACATGTAAACCTATGTTTAATGCCTTAATGACATAAGAGTCAGATACTTTCAGATAGTTGTTCGGATCTCGGGTAATATCCTATCCGACCTGGTACCCAAAACATAAATAAAAGCATATCAATTGGATATTTCACCATATCTGGATCTGACCCAAAATCCTATTTTTTGGATCCGTACCAGTTCGGATCTTTAGATCAGAAAAATATGCTCATGCCTTAAAGAAATTAACATTGTGTTAGTAATAGTATATATGATTAAACTTAGTTCATAATGAGAGAAAAATAAACATATTTCATGTGTTATGTCATGTTTAAATTAAAACACCTCAAGTTACTACTTACTAGGACATGAATCTAGTTGCCCCCCAACCCAAAAAAAAAAATCTAGGACAAGAATCTATGTCATATCATGATCCTCTTAAGCTTCCAAATCCAAGAGTACATAATTCCAACGGCATAATATGTTGAGATCGGTTTCTTCGCCGTTCAACAAACTGGTCTCATAGCGGAATATATACATCGGTTTGAGGATTTTTCTACTCAAGTGACCAGTTTATCAGATAGTCAACTCAAAGAGATATTCATGAATGGTTTAACGTCTGAAATGAGGGAAGTGGTGAATATATGTAGACCAGTGGGTCTCCCAGATATGATCTCGACTGCTTATCAGATGGAAGTAAGCTCTTTGTACAATGTGGTTCAGAAGGATATGCATTTGAAAGGTTCTGCTACACAAAGAGGAAATGAGAAATCAAATAAACCATATTCAAGTTTCAATCCACACTCAGGTTGGAAACAAAAACAGACTAAGGGTCTGACTGGTTGAAACGCGGCGGTTGCGATTGCGGTTGCGGGAGTTTGCGGATGTGGGTGGTTGCGGTTTCTAGCGTTATTAGGCGATTTGTACGACTGGTACAGCGATTAAAAACTGGTGCGTTTGCGGGACATTTATGACTGGTTGATTATGAGATACTACAGCGGTTCAATAATAAATTTCCAATATTAA